AGTCCTGCTGTGATTTCCCTCCCCCTCTATATTAAGCAAAGCATTAATTGGCTAAGTTTAATTTGCTAAATTTAAAGAGTTAAACCTGCCAATCCCAGCGGTAGGAGAGCAATGCCCCGAGGCCAGGAATGCTGTGCCATGGAATCCCTGTGCCCTGCAGCTTCCCGAGGGAGGATGCAGCATTCCAGAGGGGAATGCAGCCCCATGGATCCTGTCCCTGCCCCACAAGGAGCTGCAGCTGAGCCCCCACCATGCCTAATTTTAAATTAATTAGCCTTAATTTGGCATTTCAGGGGTGGGGTTTGGTTTGGTGCTGGAATCTCAGGGATGCACAGGGCTGGAAAACCTGGGGCAGGGCAGCATCCCAGTGTAATCCATGACCCCAAAGGTGGGGATTGGGCATCCCAGTGTAATCCATGACCCCAAAGGCAGGGGTTGGGCATCCCAGTGCTCCTGATCCTAAAAACAAAGATTGGACATCCCAGTGTAATCCATGACCCCAAAGGCAGGGATTGGGCATCCCAGTGCTCCTGATCCTAAAAACAAAGATTGGATGTCCCAGTGCTCCTGATCCCAAAGGCAGGGTTTGGGCATCCCAGTGTTCCTGGCACTGGCACCCCAGTGCAATCCCTGACCCCAAAGGCAGGGATTGGGATAATGGGAGTGCACAGGGCCTGCAGGAGGTTATTGGGATTTCTAGAGAGGAGACAACCTTTCTGTAGGGATAAGCTGTAGAATATTCCACTCTGCCAGAACATTTATCCCAGAATCATCAAAGCTTGGAATTCCAGAATGGTTTGGGTTGGAAAGGACCTTAAAGCTCATCCAGTTCCAGTCCCCTGTGTGGGGCACCTTCCCCTCTCCCAGCTGAACTCTGGCAGCTTTTTTCCTGCCCATGGAATGAACAAACCCCAGGAATGCTCACAGAGGGTGCACAGCAGGGAAAGGAAATGTGCCCTGATCTCAGTGCAGTCCTTTTCCTTCCAGGAAAGGGAAACTCTTTGTGTTCACAGGAAACTTCCCTTTCCTGCTTTATCCCAGGGATGTTTTTATCCCAGCATCATTTCCCTGGCAAATCCCACCTGGGCAGGGACAGTGCTCAGCTCTGTGTGGGAGTCACTTCAAGGAAAAAAACCCCAAACCCAGTTTTAAAAATAAAAACACAATTTGGGAGCTCTGGGTGGATATGAGGGTGTTGGGATAAAGACCCAGCTGGCAGAAATGTTCCCATATTTAGGGATTTATGGTGTTTTAAGGGTGATTGAGACTTCCCTGCTTTCCTTCTTCTCTGACCCAAAAACTTCTGCAATTTAGCAGGAGAGAACACAAGAAACCCATTTTAGAATGGGGTTACAGCAGTGCCAAAATAGAAAAATCGAATCAATTTAAAGCTTGTGATAATCAGCAAACTGCCTTTGAAACCAACACCAGGAAAAGAATGAAAATTTGATTTTTGTGATGTATTTCTGCCTCAGAATCAACCCAACAAGCCTTGTTTGCATTAAACCTCCTTGGCATTGGATAAAGGAGCTGTGAACCAGATTCGTTCATCTCCAAGGGTTTGTGTCCACAGCCTTGAAAATTCCTACAAATCCCAAGTTTTCCATGGTGTTGGAAAAGGGTTTGTGGAAGAGAGAAATGCCATTTGTGTTTGGGATAGCAAGAGCTGGCTCCTTCCTGTGCAGGTCGAGCAGAAATATGTTCCCTGGGTATAATTAGAAGTGAGGAGGGTTTACTATGAGGTTAAAAATTATTGGATCTGTCTGCAGTGGGAAAAAAATAAAAATAAAAAAGGGAAACTTGGAAAAATCACATGTGTGATGTGTTAAACATTGTGAGAAAACAAATGTGTCTGAGGACAGGGCAGCAGGGAGGGCTTTGCAAGGACTGGCACCTCAAAGCATGACTTCAATGAAGGCTGAAGCAGCTTTATCCCACTAAAATGGGAAAATTGGGATTGTGAAGTGCCTGCCACTCATTTCCTGCCATTCCAGATGTCACACCGGGAAATTCAGGGAGAGGGAAGCGCTCTTGTCCTCCACAAAACGTTATCAGTGCCCTCGTGGTGAGGAAGGGAAGAAACTTCCCCAGTGAGGATCCCATAAATCAAAACTGTCCCCAGCCTGGGAGCAGCGAGGCAGCTCCTCCTTTGCTCAGCAAAAAACCCCTTGTGAGGCTGGTGGTGACGTGAAACCAGCCCCAAATAAAGAATTGCACCACACAAATTGTGGCAAATGCCACCCCCTCCCAACCTTGTGCTGAAACCTCTTCCCCGTGTAATTCATCTCCAGGATTTTGCTCCTTCCTGCCATTTGCTGGGATTATTTTTAAAACTGCACTTTGCAGTTCCTGATTTTCTGGAGTTTCAGCCACCAGGCAGCCTGGGAGGGAAGCAGGGATCAGCTGGGAGCAGGGAGGGATTCAGCTGCTCCTGGGGGTCAGGACAGAAAATTGGGATAATCCAGGCTGAGCACCTGGAGGAGACACCTCAGGGGAAAGGTTAATCCCAAATAAACCCTGTGATATTCCCTGTGTATCCCGGCCCCTTTATCCTCCAAAGCCCTGCCTGGGGGTTGGAGTCTCCTACAGAAAAGCTGCAGGATTTGAAAGTCTCCTATAAAAAAGAGAGGGATTTTTAACCAGGGCAGAGCAAGGGGGAACGGCTTCCCACTGCCACAGGGAGCCTGGCAAGGAACTCCCAGAGCAGCTGGGGCTGCCCCTGGGTCCCTGGCAGTGCCCAAGGCCAGGCTGGACGGGACTTGGAGCAGCCTGGGACAGGGACAAGATGAGTTTGACGTTCCTGTCCGTGAGTCTGTGATTCCCATCCCACAGGGAGAGGAGGGGATGGCTCCAGGACACTGAAAGCTCTCAGCCCCAGCCCGTGCCCTGCTCCCCGTGTTTGTCCCGTCTGGTGGGGCTGCTGGGGTGGGGTTTGGTGCTCCCAGGACTGCTGGGATGCCCTCCCTGCTCTCTGCTGCTGCCCAGGAGGGGATGAGGAGTCAGACCTGGCCCAGGAGACCCCTCCTCACCTCCCCTCCCTTTGCCTCCCCCTGCCCGGCCGGGTCCCCCTGGAGGAGCAGCTCAGCAGCCGCAGGAGTTCAGGGCTGCAGATGATCCCTCCTCCCTCTCATCCCTTTGGGATTCCTGACAATTCAGGCCATGGTTCCCCCTGAATCACCTCCCCATCACCTCCCCACCGGGCACAAGCTTTAATTTTTAACCCCCTGTGCTGCTCTTGGGGCAGAGTTCATTTTCCCCCCAGTGCAGGGACAGGCTGGAATTAATTTTGGATTTGTGCTGGAGACAGAGTGGATAAGCCAGTGATGTTTTGATTCTCGTGGGTGACCTCAAGGGTATTTCTCACACAAAATCCTGCCCCAAAACCAGCTCGTAACCCCCTGCAGTGTTTCAATATTCCAATTAAGAGTCGCTGGTTCTCCCCTGGCCCTGAACTCTGCCCCTGCATATCCAGAGGGTTGGGATTGCAGGGACCAGAGGGCAGCTGGCTGCTGCCACATCTCCAAGCCCTGTGTGGAAGTTCCTGATCCATGGGATTGATGCTCCCCATTTCAGCCACAGTGCCTTAAAAGGTGTCCTTGCTGTGGAGTTGGGAATGGGAACATTTGCGTGTTAAACTTGGCTTCGGTGACCCAGAATGCAGAAACTAGATTAGTTTTTTTTAGCAGAGTTATTTATAGGAGACTCTTAACGAGTTACTTTAAATTACTTTTAAAGAAGGAAAGCAAGGGAGAGGGTGGCAGCAGGGGTTTGTGGCGGGTCCCTGTGGTCCCTGGGGGCGTGGGAGGGAGGATGTCACTCCTTGTCACTCGCTGTGACTGCCTGCAGTCACCCACAGCCCTGCACAGGGACGATGCCACCTCCTCCCAAACCCAGCCATAAAATCACAGCATGGTTTGGATGGAGGGACCTTAAATCCCACCCAGTGCCACCCCAGCCATGGCAGGGACACCTCCCACTGTCCCAGGTGCTCCCAGTCCCAGTGTCCAGCCTGGCCTTGGGCACTGCCAGGGATGCAGGGGCAGCCCCAGCTGCTCTGGGAATCCCATCCCAGCCAGGAATTCCCAATTCCCAATCTCCCACCCATCCCTGCCCTGTGGCACTGGGAGCCATTCCCTGTGTCCTGTCCCTCCATCCCTGTCCCCAGTCCCTCTGCAGCTCTCCTGGAGCCCCTTCAGGCCCTGCCAGGGGCTCTGAGCTCTCCCTGGATCCTTCTCCTCTCCAGGTGAGCCCCCCCAGGTGCCCCAGCCTGGCTCCAGAGGGGCTCCAGCCCTGCAGCAGCTCCGTGCTCCCCTCTGGCCTCTCTCCAGCAGCTCCACGTCCTGCTGGAGCCCCCACACCTGGGGGCAGCTCTGCGGGTGGGGTCTCACCTGAGCGGGGCAGAATCTCCCCTCCCGTGCTGCCCACGCTGTGGGATCAGCCCGGCACAGGGGGTTTGGGGCTGGCAGTGCCTGTGCCCGGGTCAGGCTGAGCTTCTCTTCCACCACCACCCCCAAACCCCTTCCCTCCGGGCTGCTTCGATCCATTCTCTTACCAGCCGGGATTTATGCTCGGGATTGTCCCGACCCAACAACTGCGGGAACAAAGAGTAACATTTAAATAGAAATCTTTTTTTTTGTGTGTGTGTGTGTGTAACAAAAAAACAGTTACAATAGCTCCTACGACAACATCAGCTAATATCCCAGTTATAATTGTAAAAAAGGAAGCCAGAACAAGAACAATTGAACGGAATACCGAGAACACGGGGTTTTCTGCCCGTCGGAGCGGCGTTTCCTCGCCGCCAGCCGGCGTTTCCCGCAGCTCCCGAGCGGCGGAGCCGGAGCCCGGCCCCGCTCCGCCCCCGCCCGCTCCGCCCGGGGCCGCCCCGCGCCGGCGGCGGCTCCGGAGCGCGGGGGCGGCCCCGGGCCGGCGTTTCCCGTGCCCGGCGGGCAGCAGCGCTCCGGGCATCCCTGACACGGCCGCCCTCCGCTTCTCTCCGGCAGGATTCCCGGGAGGATGGCATGGATTTAGGCAGCGACGCCGGCAGCAGCCGCTCCAGCTCGGAATCCAACTCCAGCAAAGCCACGCCGTGCTCGGAGGGCAAGTCCTCGCCGTCCCCCAGCAGCCTGGACCTGGCGGCGCTGGAGGACTCGGAGGAGGAGGAGGAAGAGGAGGAGGACGGGGGGTCCCCGCCGTCCCCGCCGCGCTGCCCGGCCGCCCATGGGCGCCGCTGCGGCCCCGCGGCCGCCGCTGCCCGGCGCTGCCCCCGCCCGCGGCCCCCGCCCCGCTCGGACCCCGCGCAGCGGCGGCGCGGAGCGGCCGCGGGGCCCGGCGGGCGGCGGAGCGCGGGGGCGCGGCCCCCCCGGGACCCGCAGCCCCCGGCCATGGACTGGGCAGCCCTGGAGAGGCACCTGGCCGGGCTGCAGTGCCGGGAGCAGGAGCGCAAGGCGCGGGCCAGCCCCGCCTCGGTGAGTGCGGAGCGCTCGCGGCCGCGGATGAAGGAGGGGGGAGAGGGGATTGCTGGGGATCCCGCCTGGAGGGATGCTGGAAGGGACCTTCCCCCTGTGCCTGCCCCTGCCGGGGCTGCAGGATCCAGCGGGAGGATGTGCAGCTGCTGGAGAGAGGCCGGAGGAGGCCACGGAGATGCTCCAGGGCTGGAGCCCCTCTGATCTGGAGCCGGGCTGGCAGAGCTGGGGGGGCTCACCTGGAGAGGAGAAGCTCCAGGGAGAGCTCAGAGCCCCTGGCAGGGCCTGAAGGGGCTCCAGGAGAGCTGCAGAGGGACTGGGGACAGGCTGTGGAGGGACAGGACACAGGGAATGGTTTTAAGTGGCAGGATGGTGGATTTAGATTGGATTTGGGGAAGGAATTGTTCCCTGTGAGGGTGGGCAGGCCCTGGCACAGGGTGCCCAGAGCAGCTGGGGCTGCCCCTGGGTCCCTGGAAGCGTCCAAGGCCAGGCTGGACAGGGCTTGGAGTAACCTGGGACAGTGGAAAGTGTCCCTGCCCAGGCAGGGAATGAGATGTGCCTGAAGGTCCCTTCCCTCCCAAACCATTCCATGATTCTCCAACTTTCCCGGAGCATCCTTGGGCACTGGTGGGGCTGGTTCCCTGCAGCTCCGGGCATGTGGCAGGGGCTGGTGTCCCTGGCAGGAGCCTGGTGCCACCACCAGGCTGTCTCAGAGCTGGGTCCCTTGGAGAGGCCAAGGAATATCAGCTTTTCCCAGCTGGGAGCAGTGCCAGGCTGGCGCTGTGTGCTCTCCTTTCCTGAGGGAAGAACCTTCCCCAGGCCCTGCTGCCAGCCAGAATGAACCCCCGGAGCTGTTTCACAGAAACCCCTGTAAATCAGGGCCTGATCCCATCATTCAGGGTGATTTGGGAATTGCACAGAACTTCTGAGCTGCAGTGATGTGAGAGGAAGGAGCACTGCAGACACCGGTGACACGGCAGGGATGAGGCTCTTCCATAATGGATGAATTCCAAAGGAATCCACCGAACCTCTCTGGAAGCTCTGCAGGAGCCTGTGGATGCCTGAGGAGCTGAGTGCCTCCCCAGCCTGCCCCATGGCCTTGCCTCTGGCACACACTGATTTTTTTTCCATGATTTTTTTGTTGTTTAAAAGGTATTCCATGCCCTAACTTCCTGTGAAGTCACCTCGTTCAGGGAGGTGGGGATTTCCCCCTGAATCCTTGAATTACAACTAATTGGTGACAAATCTGGGTGGGTGCTGGGCAGGATGAGTAAGCTGAGGGATGAGTGGGACTGCTGCCATGCAGGGATGCTTTTTTCCAAAGCCTGAACACCGGAGCCTCAGTGCCTTGAGGAACTGACAGGTAACAGCTTTAATTACAGTCATTTGTGCAGCAACTCAGCCTGGAAAAAAGGGAAAAAAAAAAAAAACACCAGAAAGAAAAAAACCCACCTCATTTTTGTGGTTTGGGAGCTGATTTCTCCAGCATTATCTGGTCAGCTCTGCTGGCACTGCTGGGAACTCTTTGCCTCCAGGCATGAGCTTAACCAGGTGAGCTGTCACCTATGGAATTCTACCCCGGTCAGGGCTTTCCTCCTCCATGCTCCCGTTCCCTCCTGCAGGCACAGAGGCCCTGGAAGGAATTCAGGCTGCCTCACGCCCTGACTTGTCCCGTGCAGAGCTGGGCTGGGAGCTTTGCTGTGCAGATCCGGGGCAGGACTAGGCTGGATGGACACCCAGAGGAGCCCAGGGCATGCAGAGCATCTCCCAGGGGTGGCACTGAGCTCCAGGTCTGTCCCTCCCCAGGAGCTGGAGTTTGCCACCCTGCAGATGTGACTTTCCCAGCGTTTGTGGCCCTGGAGAGACTTTGCTCAGCTCCCCAGCTGTCTTGGAGGCACCTTTGCTCCAGGGTTCCCCTTCCCTTGGCTCCCGGGGCTGAGGAGGAGGAAGAGGTGTTCCAGCCCTGCTCCTTCCCGCTGGGATCAAAGGGAAGGGCTGCTGGGAAGGGACATTTCCCCTCCTGGCTGGCCGGGAAGGGCTCTTTGATGTCCCCGTGGCACCTCCTGTCCCTCCCTGGCCATGCCTGTGAGCACCCAGCGTGTCCCACGAGCTGCATGTCCCCAGCACCTCCCAGGCTGAGCCAGACCAAAGTGAAAATCCCTGCTTTGTTTTTGTTTTCCCTGCCCTTGACATTTCCCTGCGGTTCAGTGTTTATAAGAAACCCTTGCCTTGCCCTGCTGGAAGCCCCAGTGTTTGTAAACATGGGAATGGTGGAGAGGAGGCAGCCAGGGAGCAAGAGCAGGGAAATGTGTGGATTGCTCCCACTGGCTGCTGGAAGCCCCAGGAAAGGGGAATTTCAGTGGGACAGGGAATCGGGGTGGGGGTGAAAGTGGCTTGGACTGGAAGTGTCTCCTAGGCTGGCTGCTCCCAGGAATCCAGAGAGATGTTTCACTGGGATGATTTTATTAAGATGATTAAAATTGAGGTTTTTTTCTGCTGTCAGGACCTGGTTTCCTTGGGGTTTGCCATGCCCCAGGTGAAGGCAGGGCAGGGGTGGCCCAGCAGGGCAGGTGCTGCTCCCTGGAGCTCTGCTCCTCCCCTGCCTGCTCCATCCTCCTCCCTGGCCCTGCCTGAGCATCCCAAGCCCCATTCAGGGATCTCTGCTGATCCCCAGCGCTGTGTTGGGCCCTTGAAAGGCCGCACTGACATAGAAAAACTTCCAAAATTAAATATATAAAATAAAATATATATTTATATGTATTTTATTAAACATATATTTTATTAAATATATTTAATTAAAATTTAAAATAGAAATGTGTATAAATATATTTATTAAATATATAAATATAATAATTCCAAAATAAATTTAATATAGAAATACAAGTTTTATAATTCTATATATTTATATAATTAAAATAAATATATAAATAAATATATAGGTATATAAAACTATATAAATATATATAGTTAAATATATTCAATATAATAACTTCCAAAATAAATTATATAAATAAAATTAAATATATAAACTTATATTTATTAAATATATAAGTGTAATAAATTTTAAAATAAATATATAAATAAAACCAATATAAATATAAAACTATATAAATAAACATAAATAATAAAACTAAGATTAGAAACGTGTAGTTTAAATAAAAGTATATAATACCACATAGTACAAAACTTGAAGTTTAAAGTTTTAAAATATAGTAATGTATATAAAACAAGTTAAAAATTTTAAGACAGAAACTAGCCATTCTTTACCTTCTTCTTCACCTTCTTCTTCATAAGTTAAGTAATATTATGTAATTAAATAAAAAATTCCACATTACAAAACATGAATAATTAGTTATTAATTAAAGATAAAAATAATTTAAACGTAATTTCTTAGTTAACCAATTTATCCTTAAAAAACCTTATAAAAACAAACACATCACCATTTTTCGTGTTGTTAAAATAGAATACTGTAAAACTCACAACTTCTGAAGCTGTAACATAAATAATAAATAAAAACTAATAAACGTCCAAATCCACACAAAAAATGCCATCTCACAATGTCACCCTGACTGTGCTGAGGGACGTGGGCCATGCTGGGCTGGCAGGAGAAGGAAATTCCCACTCTAAGGAAGCCTCCCCGTGGCTTTTGGAGGTTCCATCCAAAATGGGCTGGAGTGCAGGGAGGGCTGGGGCGCTGCAGCTGCGCTCAGTGCAAGGTTGAAGTGGTGAGGGGCCTTGGGTCACATCCTTGGCTGCAGAGATGTGCCCTGGCTGGCTGGAAAGGCTGGGAAATGGGATTTTAATGGTATCAATGCCACGGGCAGGGCTGCGGTTCAGCTTCCAGCTGGGGTGTGAGGCCAAGGCTGCTCCCTCGGGCTGAGGGTGCCTGAAAGCTCCTACCAGGAAATCTGGGAAGGGTTTGGCAGCTCCTGCTGGGCACTGGCTGAGAGGAGCAGAGGCCCAGGGGGTGGCATGGCCTGGATGGGTCCATCCTGGATATCCCATATCCAAGGACAGGCTGTTCTTGGGGCGGGCTGACTGCAATGCTCCCTGCGGGCCAGGTGGGCAGGTGCTGTCCAGAAATGGAGAATATTCCTGTCCTTCTCCCCCAAAAAGGATTCAATGGCTGGTTTTGGAGCTGGATTGAGTGGATGAGGTCCCTCCAAGCCTGAGTGGCTCTGGAGTTTTCTGGACGCCACCTAAGAGGAGAAACCCCTTTCCTGAAGGCACTGGAGCTCAGAAGGTTCACTATGGAGATGCTTGGCTCAATCTCCTCACCCAGCTGCAGGAAGCCACCCCCTCCCATTTTTTTCCATTTTTCCTCCTTTCCTCCACTTCTGGCTGCGTCCAGAGTGGTACCAAATGTGCCCTGGGATGATTTATGGCCCTCAGGAGCCGTGGAGGTGCCAGGGAAGCGGCGAGGCTCCGCTTGCTGTGTCTCTAATGGCTCGAATCAAATCCAAATCAGCCTTAATGGCTTTAATATTCCTCCCATTGCCTCTCCGAGGATAATTACAATCAATAGGAGGGATTGGCTGGGAAGAATATCTGCAAATTCTGCAGTCAATTAGAGAAACACTGGCAGGAGGGGAGGTGGCTCAGGCAGACCTGGCCGTGACAGGCTGGGCAGGGAGGCAGGGATGGAATTGCCCAAGGAATTGTGCTGCCCACAGGGCTTAGTGCAGGCAGTGCTGCTAAAAGCTCATCCCTGCAGCTTCCAGGATTTCTGCAGGAGC